TGTTTCTCCAGGGTAGATCAGTCATCCAACGACAGCGACACTTGCGCAAAAAGCTTCATCTTGAGACATCCAAACCCCAAAGTGTCAACGACTGCTGGCAGAGGCCCATCTGTGGCTCACAAGAGTTTTCAATGAGAACTCAAGAGGGGCTGAAGACAACTGCTTCAGCGGAGAAGGAAGGCGTCCTGCAAACATAAGCATACGCCCAGGCTTCCTGTATCTTGCCACAGATTGCTGTGCCGGTTAGCGGTTGTGAGCCTGCACTGTTTCAAAGGACCTGTGTCCAGGTAGAACATCAAAACTAGGGCCAGAATGTCGAACAACATGAGGTGTAAAGAGGCCACGCCTGAGGCCGAATTTAGCAGAAAAGTCGCGGAAAAGCTGCTCATACTGCTAAAGGCGCAGCAAAAACACACATTCGTCCACATCCAGAAACGTCTTTCCCAGAACTTTTAGAAGGTCATTGGCCCAAGGACGGTGACTGCTATCTGCCAGGACGACATCATCAACAGCCCCAGTTTTGGTAGACTCGCCAAAGTCGGAGTTTCCAAACAAAACCCCCCACGGCGTGCCCAGGGAGGTCACTGCAGGGACTAGGTCACGGCCCTTCAATTCAAGGATCTCAGAAGGCCGGCGCCATGCACCAAGGCTAGCACGCGCCAGGGGAAACATGTTTCTTTCGGGACAGTCTGGAACGGCACGAAGAACAATGTAGCCGAACAAAGTATAGCTTGCAGAAGTGACAGTGCAGCCATCCTGAAAGAGGGCGAAGTAACAGCTTAAAGCTTTGTCCACATCTCTACAACTGCTTGTTCTGTAAATGTTCTGAAAACACCAGTCCAGAAAAGCGGTTATGTGCTCGTCATAGCGCAAGACAGTGGCTGGCTGCACTCTCTGGATTCTCAGCGTTCGTTCAAGCGGAGCTCGGTTGAGTATGGCAAGGTACCTGCTTTCTTTGACGATGGGGCTTTTTGAGCCCCTTGTCAAGGATTCGCCACGCTTCTTGCCGGTTCCGGCCAAGCGCAATGAAGTCGAAGAACCTTTGCAAGCCTCCGTCTTGCTGGAGCAGGCCAAGCTCTGCTTCTGAGTCCTTGCTTTGATTACCCCTAGCTTGGAAAGACTTGCTGTTCTTTTCACTGACGTAGCTGCAGGCCGGATTATCCCGGAGCGAAGCTCGGCAACGCTCTTGGATCTGGTGACCCTCGCAACCATGGCCAGATACTACATGCGATTCTGCAACAACTCTTGCGTACTTTGTGCAAAAGGAAAAAGGATATGCTCCCGCAAGCGAGGTCCTGTTGAGACAGCACTGATCTCCAAAACAATCCGCACGCCTGGCAATGCCTTTGAGCCACACTGCGTGCCGCCGGTGTCCACAGTGTCTCTCGAGACATGTGAGAGGCTCGAACGAAGTGACCAATTTTGTGTCTTTCTTGAACTCCTCGCCGTAGCTACACATGTCAAAAGTTATGGTAAAGGTGGGCCCAGTGCGGCATGCTCTAAGGATAGGCTCAAACTCGAAAAGTCTTGAAGTCAGGGGGTTCTCGAGGACATAGGGAACGTTCAAGCGGTTGCAAATCCGAATAATTGCAGCAGTGAAGAGCGCTAGCTCAATACCAGTCTCTTCCTTCGCCCGTGACTTGGGCGAGTCTTTCACACCATGCCTAGCCCGCGACCAGATGGCGCAAGGTGTGCCAAGGTGGCAGAACCCAATCAAGCCTTTTTCAAACCACTCAATGATCAGCCGCTGCGTTCTGCGCTTCCTCAAATCGCAGTGTGGCCCATGAACAATGTCCAAAGGCTCAAGACAAAGCAAACCTTGATCTGACATGGCCTTTGAAAGGCGGCCAGTGCCTGAAAAAATCTCGAGAAAGAACTTCACTGAAGAGGCGGACCGCCTCCCGAACCCAGCTCCCGGCTCAACATCCTGCTTGCGTCCACGGCTGGAAGCACTGAAGCCTCCACTGCAGGTGAGGGGGAGAACTGATGGGGCAGCGGGCCGAACTCCTCGATGTTTCCGTTCAAAGCGCCGAGATGGTTCGTCGGCAACATTCCTTCCAGTCGCTAGTTGAACTCCCGCAGCTATACGGAACAACCGGTTCATTGCAAAGGAAGAGCTCCTTCCCTTGGAAAAGGCTGAGATTGCCGGTAAGTTGTCGCTCAGAGTCAACTTGGTGTGGCCCATCAAGGATCAAGGATCTGACTCGGGAAGAACGCCGCAGGGAAGACAAAGCAACTCTCCCTTCCCGGATATTGATAGGCTCTTCTCTGGATCTCCATGGGCGCGACCACAGCAGCCGGTAATTATCAGCTAGCCCGAAGAAAGCGTCGACAGGCTCAACAAGCGACGGGACATCAACATCAACTCGTTGTGACTGCTTGGCTCTGATCTGCGATTTGATTGCTGATGTGCGAAGCCAACTCCCTTCACGCAAGGCCTCAAAAACAAGCCCTGCGTACTGGGTTGACAATCCCGCCGGCCTTGCAAACATTGCAGTGTCTGAGTCAAACGGTTGCCCAAGCCCAAGCAATTCCCCAAGCTTGGCTGCAAACAGATGGTGGTCCTGAGACTCGGCTGCTTGTTTGAGCGACTCCGGCATGGGCACGAACCGCCACTTCTCATGCACAGCCAAGGCTTGCAAGACCACTTGCTTTGGGGGTTCGCAGGCCATCATGCCATAGCCCGTTGTAGAGGCATCTCCCACCTCGACGATGCGGCAAAGCGGGCTGTCAAGCTGTCGCCAAGAAAGCCAAATGAGAGCGCTGGCGCACTTCAACTCTCTTCGCACACTTGGCCAAACCAATGTGCGTTTGCCACAGCTGGATTGTATGAACCGGTAGACATCCTGCAACGAAGACAGCGCGCACGCGGTGTGGGCAGTCAGAGCTGTGAAATGCCCTGCCCAGACCTGCAGCACATCACCCTTGAGCTCCTTCCGCCGCAGCAAAGCCAGAGTGGCAAGGTAAAACCTCCACACTCTGCGAGGTTTGTTTCGCAGAGTTCGACGGTTGAAGTCCAAGACGCATCCAACACTCTCAAGTTCTGCCACAGCACTGGTTTGCGTCCAGGTGATGGGGATGCCAGCCTTGCTGAAAACCTGATCAAGGATTGCAGCCCTGCGGTTCACATCTTCTTCTTTGGCGCCGACCAAGGTGATGTTGTCAACGTACACGCCCAAGGAAGTCTTGAACTCGTCAAGTTGGGGAACAACTTTCCTTTCTCTAAAAATGCCTTCAGACCAGGGACAATGCTGTCGAGCAATGTTGAGCACTGCCTCGTTACAAAAGAACAAGGCCCAAGACCAGCCCATAGGGACAGCTTCAATACATGGGAAAAGAGTTTCGAACGGCTCCACATCCACGTATTGTTGTGTTTGCGGGTCATAGACTGATCCGGCCTCAAAGCCCAACCTTCTCCACTCTTCAGCTGTCAAAGGATGATTGAATGCAAAATAACCCGCAAGATCAGGAACAGAAAAGTTGTAGAATGCGTCATTTACATCTGCCTCGCGGCCAAATCCGCACGCGCCACGCGCTGCGGCATCGCCAACTCGGAGGTCGGCATAGCACCGTGAAGAGCCCAACCGAGTCACAGGAGGTGGATGGTGCATGCGATTGCTTCCACGGCAGTCCAAAACCATTCTAATGGCAGAAGGGTCTTTCTTTTTCACAAAGAAGGCTCCAATGAAGGAGCGAGGCTGCTTGCGGAGACCTATCAACCCCACCTGCTGCAAACGGCAAATGAAATCAAGTCTCTTCTTGGGGCTGTACCTCAGAGCAGGGTCCCAATAAGGCGAGAAGCTCTCCTGAAGAACATCTGGCTTCACAATCTCAGAGCTGTAGTGCTCGAGCAACTTTCTGGCTTCCAGTGGCAAAAACTGATGTATTCGTTTTGGCTTCTGTTTGGAGCGAAGTACTTTCAGCTTGTCAGGGTCATAGTCATAGGCAGCAAGATTGTTGGGCACTCCGGTGTAGGAGAACTTGTCAGCGAGTAGCTCGCTCAGCGCACCGTCTGGACAAAGGCCTTCTGGTTTGGGGCCGTGAAGGTGCAAAGAATGAGCAATCCTGTCATAGATGTACTGCTGGACAGAATTCGGCTGACTTGGAGATTCATGTTTTGGAAAACGCGAATTCATGCCATGCAAAACGAGCTTGTTGAGGGCAAGCGCCGTCCATGAAGCACGCTGAGGTTCAAAAACTCCAGCTTGCGCCGCCACATCTCTGACATCGTTGGGATTCAGAGGAAAGGGGTCACCATGCCGGCTGGGAGGCCGTAGGTCTCCCATCAGCTCCACTCAAAAACTGAAAGCCGCTGCAGTGGAGCAATGCAGTGGCCAGCACAGAGACGTTCAGCTCACCGCGGCAGAGCCAGCGGCTCCGCCGTCATCGCCTCTGCCCTTCTTCTTGTTGGCTCTCTGCCTCCATCGCTTGTTGTGATCTGCATCGTCGCCATCTTCAAGGGCCTTCTTGGGCCCGCGGCCTTTGAATTCCTCTCTGAACAATCTGGCTTGCTTCTGCACCTGAGCCTTCTCTTTCAGCTTCTCGGTGATCCAGGCATTCATCGAAGACACTTGCGCTTGGCCTTGACTGCTGATTGGGGCTTCACTCACAACCTCCAGGCCCGAAAAGTCAGGGGCTCCGGGAGATCTGGCAACAGCAATCTCTAAGGTCACAAGTCGCCTGGTCAGCGCCTCCAAGCTGCACAAGGAGGACACATCAACCTGGTCTCGTGAAATTGCCAACCTCAAAATCTCCAAGAGAGAGCGGTGCTCGTGGGCAATCGCCGAAGATGTTGCAACTCCTGAGTTCTGGACCCAGCCCAAATGATAGCTGGGAATGTCCCGGGACCACTCCGAATGGCTTGCAAATACTCCTTGGTGGAGCGAGGCCCAGAGAAAGCCCAGTCCTCAAAAGAAGCTTCGGCCATCAACGTCAAGCCGTCGTTCAGCGACAAGTGCCGCTTGCCTTGCGCATCACGATGGTCCCCGAGTAGGCGGACATCATTCAAAGACTCTCTCGCTGGCACTGAGCTCACGAAGGTATTCAATCTCCTCCTCCCACTGGACAAGGCCGTGCTGCCCCAGGGTGATCACATCCTCAACAAGGTCCTGGGGGAGCAGCTGTCCAAATCGCTTGGATGAGGGATCCGCGCAAACCCAGGCCACGTCGACTGCTTTGGAGTCATCCAAGAGCGAGCCCATAGTCTTGGCCAGCCTTCTCTGTCTTTCAAGCTCGGCCCTGGGGAGATCATCGAAGATGTAGCAGTCGTTGTATAAGTGGCCTGGAAAAGGGGCGTGTCTGCCCAAGACAACGTGGCGGTGAGTGGAGAGATCCACCACCGCCAGCTCCAAGTCCGGGCTCAACATGACCCATCGGCCACCGCTGATCTTATGCAGCCCCACTCGTTGGTGCCAGTAAAACCCCCCCGCGTCTGCAGGGAAGTGCAAAAGCACCTGGGGGTCATTGATGTTGAGGCTTCTCTCCATATTCAATCACGGAGCTGGCAACCTTTGCCAAAGTCAGGCGGGCGAGCTGGGCCTTTTCTGATGGCCACTTCAACGGAGGGCAGGTCGAAATCTTCCAAAGCAGGAACTTCAGCCACTGCAGGGGGATGGGGCCCCCTGACCAAGAAGGTCCAGAAGGCCAGACCAAAGACCAAGATCCCCAGGAGGATGTTGACCGAAGTGACAAAGTAGTTGGCGCTCCTCAGAAAAGAAACCTGGGCGTGACAATCATCCACCACCAGGTTGTAAGACTCCAACAACTCTCGGGCCCGATGTACCTCAAGTCGAAGGCCAGCCAAGTCCAGTTCCAGCCTGGTAGACGCCCTCCAATCCCAGATAGATCTCAGAAGGTGGCTGACCAACAGTAAGGACCAGCTCAAAGAACCAACGACCATGAATTGGAAGCTTTCAGAGCCACACAGCTTGAGGGTGTATCAAGTGCAATGGGGCCAGGCACATTCATGCACAACAAAGGGCGCAAGCTCTATAAAGGAAAACGTTTGGTTTTGACATGCGTTTTGCGTGGCAACTGGCCCAGGCGTGCGTGCGCGTGCCCGCAGGCGAGCGGGCCTGCGCGCGTGCATGCGTGCGCGCACGTGCGCGTGCTTGCGCGCATGCGTGCGTACTTTTCTGTGATGTGTTATGCGATTTGTCCAGCATACCAATGCTGATGTTTGCTACGTTCTGTGGTAGTTGTTTATTTAATCTTCATTGCTTGATATGTTTGTAGAATAGAGTTCATCATTTTTTCTTGCAATTAACTTTATAAACGTGATTAGGTTGTTTGTAATATAATATCTTCAACTTAATATCACGCTTTAACAACTGCTTTAAAAACTTACCGTAAAGCAGATTATATTTCTTGTTAAAAATATGTTTCCTTCATAGACTTCTACAATGTATAAAGTTAGATTATTAAAACTATTAATATCACAATCAGCGAAAGGTTTAAACACATCAAATTCAGTAAGTCTTGGGATGTATTTAATACAGCACCCGCCAAAAGTAAATGCCTTTCTAATGTCAATCTCCCTCAACTTTATAATATTAACATTCGTGTCATGAAACTTCCCAACCGGAACAATAGTTTTACACTCCTTCAATACCTTAATATCAACTTCATTGTAATATGACAAATGGTTTTCCTTAAACATGTCCTTCTGAAATCTGAACATAGCACTAACAATACTATTATATGTGTCTTCATCATCAATTGCTACATCTTCATCAATCCTATCTTTTGATAAACTCTGTGATACAATATTATATTTAATGTTTTTTGAGTTTTTTGTAATAAGACTTACACATGATATTAGCAATTTGTCCGGAATTGCCATATTTAATGTAGGGTTTGTATCTTGCTTCGTTGAGTTGATGAAATACTTTTACAATATCATTGTCAGAATGTATTAAGGCGTATTCTTCTTCATCCCGCATTTTTAACAAATCATCTACATCATCAAACATTTTATACTTAATAGGTTCATTCCTGTCAGTAATATAAAATCTGCTTGTAGCAGGCGCTTTAAATCCTTCCTCGTTTGCTTGCATTTGCCTTAATGTGTTTAAATCATGGTTTAACAAATAAATATGGTTATTCTTAACTAATCCTCTGAACATTTTAACTCTTCCCTTTTTGAAGTCATCGGGGTCGTGTTGATAAATTAAACCTCCTGTAAAGTTGTAAAGTCTGACTGGAATATTGAAGAATTTAAAGACCCTATCCATTTGGTTTATTGATGCTCCGTTATTGATAAGTTCTTGTTCTGTCATTTCCAGCAATTCCAAAACCTTATTACGGGATAATGTTGGTGTAGTATTCTTTTGTTGTCGCTTCTCTCTCAATAGGTCTGTCCCTTCAAAGTTTTCAAGTAAAGCATTTATCCAACATTCATTATCTCTATATTCCTTCTTTTGTAATGCTTCTTTTATTGTTAAAGCATCGGCGTCAACTTCGGTCTGGATGTATCTATAATAGATGCTTATATTCTGACTTTCCCTCAGTGCTTGCTCTCTTTCATCGTAGTTTGAGGTGTCAGTTTCAACCAGCTCAACGCTTTCAATTCTAATGGCGTCAGCGTATTCCACAAGATGCCCTATATCATCAAATTCGCTACTGGTGTTCATTATCAGCATCACCCTTTTATACAGTCCCTTTTCATCCTTATGATACCTTCTAATTTTTCTTTGAACCACTGTTTCCAGAAACTGACTTGCTTTGACGTGTGCAGTTGCTACTGTCCTTTCTTTTTTCTCACCTCTGGTGTTGATAATGAGCGGGTATTATTCTCTACCGTCCATTGTAAATGCTGGTCACTTTACACCTGACTTGTTCTCAACTGAAAATAACATAAATTTTACCTCAGAAGTCTTCCTGTTCTTGAAAATCTCCTTTGCCTTTGTTGCTAATCCCGCTATTGCTTTTCTTTTAAAGATGGGTTGCTTGTCGTGTGTTTTAACCACTGCTTTAACTTCCTTTCCTGTCCTTGCTTTCTTTGCTGTCTTTGCCATTCTTTCGGTTATGGGTTCTGCTTCTTCGTACTTTGCCACTGCTTTATCATATCTCTTCAATCCTGATTTTCGTTTCTTTGTATCATTGATGCTGATGTCATTTATCAATTTATTTGCCGTCAAATCAACTATTTTATTGATTTGTGCTTGTATATCCGGCGGGACTTTGCCACTTTTACTATATCTTGTAGTTCTTAAATTCTGGGTATATTGTCGGATAAGTTTTTTAGTCATGAATATATTTATATATTTATAATAATAAGTATTTATTTAAATGCTTTCGTCTTAAACTTAAATTAATGATATGTCTCGAAACAGTCTTAAAGAAATGTTATTTAATATAATTAACATAATGACAAAGAAACCAGAAGATATGACATTGGATGAAATTAGGGAACAAATGGCGTTGTTTTCACGGTTGTATTATCATAAGAGAAGAAGAAGACCCTGAATACATAGAAAAAGTAAGAGAGAGAAAAATAATAACAAGTAAAGCACTTTATCAGAAGAAGAAAGCAGAGAGAGAAGCAAAGGAAGCACAAGATAGGATGGAGAAGGGAGAACCAGAACCTGAAAAGTCAAATTATCACCCGAGCAGAAAATACAAAACAGAATATGCGATGGTTGCTGTCGCTAATTAGTTCTATTTTAGATTAATAAAATAGAATTAATTTTAAAGTTTGATATTAATATGAAATCTGCGTTAGTTCCTTGGTGTTAAGAGTATTACTTATAGCATAATATATATTTAGACTTTGCTTTCTATTTTTATTTTTAAAGACTTCGTTTTCCAAATAGTCTACACGATGGATTAGTGTTGATAAAGCATCCCAACTAATACACGCCATTCTGTCATAACACATTGTTAAGTATTCTCCCGAATCATTTACAATATTATATTTAGGATTTGTGTATTGTTGAACATCTTGAGCAATCCATCCTAATTCAGTTTTTCTGGTTTTTTGATTTTTAACAAACGTTTTAATCTTAATGTTTTTAACCATATTTATAGTGTTATCTTCTACATCTTCAATATTATCTTTCAGTCTCTTATTACTACTTAAATTGAATCCATTAAATGATGAAAATTGAGTATCATCCAATTGTAAATATTTAGTGCCATCAATATAACTATCAATAGTTGTTGATGCTTCTAATCTTAAAACAGCATCACTATTTAAATGTCTCAAATTGATTTTATGAGCAATTCCAAAAGTCAGATCACCGTCAATAGTCCAATCGCCTCGTAATTCGCTATTACTTTCACTATTCAAAATAATTTTATTATCAGCATATGTTGCAGATAATCCAACAACCAAATTAATAGAGTTTGAAGTGTTGCTATTCCTGATTATTAAATCGTTTGTATCAAGATACATTTCAGCATTATTAATTATTAGTTTTGAAGTGTCGCCAAATTGAACATTGCCATTTGGTGAATTTTGTAATAATAAAGTATTTCCTGATACTGACTGAACTTGGTTGACTTCAACCTTTTTGCCAGATGACATCGTTAAATCGCCATTTGTATATACATCACCTAATATATCAACTGGTTTATTGAAAATGGTTTTAGATACAGCACCGTCGCACATAAAATATTGGTTAGAAGAATTTGTAATATCACCAATACTACAAGCAACAAAATTATTATGTGCCATATATAAACCTTCTGTAGCATCTGGTGTATATCTTTGTATCGAACCATTATTAGCAAAATTTAAATATGAACCATTGTTAAGACTAATTGCTTTCAGTTCCTATAAATTGTACAGCATCAGTGAATCTCGCTTGTCCGGCACAGTTTAGAACATAACCAGAAACACCAACAGCTCCTAAACCGAATCTATCCTTGACCCACACACGACCAACATTAGCGTCTCCTATTTGAGTTTCCCATACACCACCGCTTGAACTCATCCACATTCTTCCATCTCTATTAATATTGAATTCACGATTAAACATTTGAAATGTCATTTGTAATCCTAAATTAGGCGAAGGTGTAGTGCTAAACTTATTACATATTATACTTCCAGTAGTAAGCATATTTAAATCACTATGTAAAGTTGAATTATCACTAAAATTAATAGCACCTGCTACCGATTGAACCTTAGTATCTATTTTATCCAACTTTTGTAAATCCATTGATATTAAACTATTAATCGTAATTTGAATTTCGAGTTATTAATAAATCTTGCGTCGTGTTGTCTGATATGATTGAGGCAAATGTATTACTGTATGCGGTATTTGTATTGAATAAATTAGTATCATTTGTATATAATGTTGATACGTCTGCTTGAATAGATGTTTTTTTCAGTTGTAGTCCAAGAAGCACCGCCTCCTGCTTGTAA